AGGAGGAGGAGGAGGAGGAGGAGAAGAAGAAGACGAGGAGGACGACGACGATGATGAGCGACGAGGGGTAGGGAGGGACTATATGAGAGGGGAGTTCAGCTCAGTTCAGCTGGCCTGAGAAAGCGCCCCACCTGAACATGGGCGAGGAGGAGGAGAAGGACGACTACGACGAGGAGGCCGCGGACAAGAGGGACGAGGAGGAGGAGAAGGAAAGGGCAGGAACAGGAGAAGGACAAGGACGGGACCGAGGAGGACGACGACCACCACCACCACAACGACGATAATAGCGACAAGGCCGAGAACGGACAACGGCGAGATGAACGGGAGAGGGCGGGAGGAGGAGGAGCAGCAACAGCAGCTGGAGCGCTCCCTTCGACTGACCCCTTGGCCATGGCCACGTCGTCGTACACCGTCACCGCCTCCTCAACTTCCTCCTTCTTCCACTTCCTCCTCCTCCTCCTCCTCCCTATTCCCTCATCCTCCTCCCTTCCTCCCACCTCCTATCCTCCTCCTCCTCTTCCTCCATCCTCCCCTTGCTTCCCCTCCCCCTTTTGTCCTCCTCTTTGCCTCCGTCCGCCTGGCTGGTCGGGGCCGAACCCTCATATCGTCTTTCATTCCCATCAACTAGTCCTGCTACCTTGTCCTCCCTTCCTTACTCGGTCCTCCTCCCCCTTTTCTCCTCCCTCCTCCCCCTCCTCCTCCTCACCTCCTCCCTTTCTTCTCTCCTCCTCCTTAGTTGCTCCCTTGTGCTCCTGCTCATGCTTGTCCTCCTCTCCTCCTCCTCCTCATCCTCCTCCTCCTCCTCCTCCTCCTCCTCCTCCTGGGGAGACAAAATGGTACTGATACCGCTATTCCCTGGACCTCTTCTGGGGCGCATTCTGACCAGAACTGGGCTGGGAATCCACTGATCCAGCCGTGGCAACAAGGGCCTCCGCGTAGACCACAAATAGGCAACAACAAGGGAAGGGCAGCAAATATTCCCCTGATCGCGTCGTGGCGATGAGCAGAGTAACTTCATCCCTGCGCCTGAGTGTGCCCGCCCACTGGGACAGCGGGCATGTCGGATCAACACACAAGAGCACGAGCAGGAGTAGTTGGAGCAACATGAGCAGGAGCAGGGCATGGCCCTAGCCCCCGTCTCTTCGCTCGTGCGACCACCCTTCCCACCCCCCCCTGAGAAGTCTTCCTGGCGGGCCCCAGGGCGCAGTCCTCAGGTGCGCCCCTGTCGGGGTGCCGCTCGCCACCCCGTTGAGCTGGCCCGCAGGCCCTCCAGGGCGGTTGGCGCTCGCAACGGGGTGGACCTGCCCCGAGGGGCCCCACCGCAACAAGCAGTCCAAGACGCAGTCCCCCCCCCCCCCCCCGCACCCACCTCCCAACCTTCCCAGACCACCGACGTCGTGATGTTTCATGACGTCGACCCCTGGAGACATCGACCCATTGCCCTGGACCGGCTTTTCATCCTGAGTCGTTTTTCGACGGTCCCGGGGCCCGGCGAGGGCCTCTGGAGGCCGAACATGGCGAACCCCCCCCCGTCTCGATCTTGCTCAGCACGCTGGATCTCTGGGTCCCCCCCCTCCCCACCCCCGACCTCGTCGCCGTACACAGAAACCGTGACGTATCCGCCGACCGCCCCAGTGCTGCAGGGCGTGTACGACCAGACGCGCTCCGCGTCGAGCCCGCAGCCGGAGCCCGACGCCTCCAGGTACTGGAGCTCCTGCGAGCTGTCGCGACCCCCGCCGGCGGGCCCTTCGGAGGCCCCTCGGAGGCGGCGCATTCGGAGGCTTGCGACAACCTCCTCCTCCTCCGAGTCCGCCTCCCCGTCCTCCTCAAGCTTCTTTGTCCTCCCTTCTCCTCCTCCTGCTCCCTCCTCAATCCACCCTCCTCAATCCACCCTCCTTCATCCACCCTCCTTCATCCCCCCTCCTCCTCCTTCTTCTCCTTCATCCAGTAACTCCTCCCTGACGCACCACAAACGTGTCCGTAGGGCAGGCCGGGCGTTTGGCCCAAGATTTCCTCACATGATCCTGAAGTTTGAAATATGCAACAGCTGTAAGAATGGAGGTCGGCCCGATTTCAATAATTTGGCTCGCGCCTCAGCGCCGCACATTTTCGTCTTCCATGTTTGCAGCAGCTTCAAAGGTTGAGGGCGGTTCATTGTTATCAAAAATCTGGTTCTCGCCTTAGCGCCGCGCGCATGCGTCATAAAAGTGATCAACAATTTCACAGATTCGTCTGGTTTGAAGTCCCGGGGGCTGCGTCTTGCGACGAGTGTGCCAGGACGTAACAATCACGTTCACTCGCGGTGCTGACGAATCCCCCGAATTGCGATCAGGCTAGGTTTAGGACTGCCAACACGTAGCGGTAACGTTGATTCGGGGCGTTGAAGTCCCAGGAATGGAACTTTGGCACGATTGAGGACCCTCAGACGATTATCGTCCAATGGGGCATTTGAACGAACACCATTATTGTAGGGAACTAGGGGGGAACTTGGAGGGAGGATTCGTTGCAACATCGTTGATGCGCTTTGGGTTTACACTGGTCCTCCTCCTCCTCCTCCTCTTCCTCCTCCTCCTCCTCCTCCTCCCTCCTCCCCCCTCCCTCGTCCCACTCCGAGGGGGATCGGGGAGAAAGGATACATGAGGAACGATCGATGACGAAGGAGGAGCCAAGGAGCACTGGACGGCCCTGCGAAAACCAGGCGGAGGCGACTCGGCGTGGACAAATGTGCCGACCCCGTCGGCGCGCGTGTGAGGGGGGGCCTTGGTGCAGTCGTCCAGATATGTTCAAGGGAGACACAACGTTTCTATTCGAAGATCACCCCTGTATCCTCCTGCGGCCACCTGATTTCCTTCAATCTCGCCAGTCCGGAGGGGAATCGAACTAAGTCGCAATCGAGCCGAATGGGAGCTCACTCCCTTTGTTGCCTTCCCTGCAGGGTGGGAGGATCCAGGAGCGGGGTCCCGCGGGGATGGAGGGGGGGTCCGTCCCAGGGAGGGGGGTCCTCCTCCCCGTCCCACCCCCCTCCCTGGAGTATCTCAAGCGATCTTGGGGTCGGTTTGGCTAGTTTGGGGCCCCAGGCCCGCTGGAGCCCCATCGGAGCCAACTTCTGCACTCTTGGGAGGCTCGCGGGCCGTCTCGCAGGTCCCAGAGGCAGGCCCCAAAAACCAACATCTGCTGACTCCCTCAGGTATTTGCTAGATCTAAACGGTATCGCCGCATCGGCTGCAATACCGTCCAAGACGGCCCAAGAGCACACCATGACCAGCCCAAGATGGCCCAAGAGGCCCCCAAGAGGGGCCCAGGAGGCCTGGAAGGCGCCCCTAAAGGGCCACGAAAAGCACGCCACTGTCGCACTGCTGGAGGCCAACCCCTCGAACATGATCGCAAGACCCCTAAGAAGCCCAGAAAAGACTTCAAAATGCCTCAAGACGCACCCAAGTGGGCCACAAAGGCCCCCAGGAGCCCACCCAAGAAGCCCCCAAGATCCCCCTAAATGTTCCCAAGGCTCTGGAACACAACCTAGGCGCAGTGGCGGGATCAGCCTCAACCGCAAGGTCATTTTGGCGGTGCGCACCAGGGGGGGGAGGGAGGGGGGAAGGCTTCTTAGAAGGAGGCTGCTTCTTAGAAGGCGCCGGCCTCACATCTACAGAGAAGGCCCGCGCCTTCTACAAGGAAGCCGCAGCAGGCTCAGGGCGACGGGTGCGGGGACAGCGAGCGACCACAACCACATCGAAGCCGCACCCTGGGGGGATATTGCGGGCATGCCAGAAGACACCAACACACAAAAACCGGCGCAGTACAAGATGTGGTCCATGTGGGCGGCCCGGACGGCCAAATCGACCACAACCAGAACCAGAGTGCTCCCGTCGAGGTCGGTGGGTTCTCCCCCGAGGGGCCTTCCAGAAAAGTTGGTTTATATACTTGTGGTTGTGTGGTTGTGGTGCCTTGCTGTGCCCGGAGACGTGAGAAACCAAAAGGTGCTGATACCGCCACATCCAGGACATCTCCCCATGTGCCTTATGACCAGAATTTCGAAGCGAATCCAGCGGCGGCGACGAGGGCCTTCGAGGAAGTCCACAAAGGCGAAAGAGCGGGCATGGCAGCGGTATGGGTACCTCCTCCTCCTCCTCTTCCTCCTCCTCCTCCTCCTCCTGTTCCTCAACCTCCTCCTCAACCTCCTCCTCCTCCTCCTCCTCCTCCACCTCCTCCTTGTCCTCCTCCTCCCTCTCCTCCTCCGCCCTCTCCTCCTCCGCCTCCTCCTCCTCCTCCTCTGAGAGGCAGGGTGCCGCCGCGCCCTTGCTGGCCGCGGGTCCTCCTCGGAGCAGAGCCGGGCGCCCTGGGAGAGGCAGGCGGCCTCCGCCGCGGCCTTGCTCACCGACGCCAGCGCGCACGAGCTCTGCGGCGAGCCGCAGACCCCGGCCACTCCTCGAGGAGGAGATGAGAAGTCAAGCAAATCCACCCCCATGCAGTCGAGGCGCTGACCTAAGGAAAGATAAGTAAGGAACGAGGTCCCTTTTCCCCATGCGTTGAACTCCGATTGTCCATGGACAACATCAGGAAAACCCAAGGAGCACTGCGAAAAAACTAAGGGACACGGAGCCCCTCCCAAACGAAAAGGGTTCCTTCTTCAGCGGCCCGACTGTAGAAACCACCCCGACACGCGAAGCTGTTTAGCAAACGCGCCCAAAGAAGGAATCGAGCAGGGCGGGGCTGTCTAGTGAACGTCCAAGGCCGTTTCGTAAACGCCAATTGTCCAGTCCGGGTAGCTTTTTCCTCTCTTGAGAGACCGGCTACAAAATTGGTTCACCCCAGAACTAATTTCTTAAATATACGAAGAAAACGAAAGAGCGTAGACTGCTCGTATATCTGCCGGAGAAGAAATCGCTCTTCTTGCAAATCTGACGACAATTCCAGGTCTGGGGTATCAATTGTGCAGTCGATATCCTATTCGAACTCCTGCCGCGCGCTGGCCCTGAGATCTGGGTGCTGCACCTTGCAACGTCCCGATCTCAGGGCCAGCGCGCCCAGATCTCAAGCTGGGCAGAAACGCCCAGCGTGACATAAATGTTCAACTTCTGCCTCGCCAAGCATTTTCGCCCGGTATCGGCCCGTAGGAGCATTACAGATCGGTCTGGGTCGAAAGATGCAGCAGAACGCTTGGGTTGGGCTCCGGTCGTGCTTGTTCGCGATGTGGCAAATGTTTCCTTCGCTACGCCGATCTCAGGGGGAGGGGGGGACATCCCACGCGTCCGAGCGTCGCCCCTCTCACCCCCTCGCAGCGCCCCGCCACTTCGTCCTCGATGCCGGAACGCGCTTTCCTGCTTTTCGCGATTCGCGATAGCGGCCGTTACCAGCCCCGGCCGCCCCCCTCCCCCCCCTCCACCTCCTCCTCCTCCTCCTCCTCCTCCTCCTCCTCCTCCTCCTCCTCCTCTTCTTCCACCCCCTCTCCTCCTGCTCCTCCTCCTCCTCCTCCTCCTCGTCCTCCTCGTCCTCCTCGTCCTCCTCGTCCTCCTCGTCCTCCTGCTCCTCCTCCTCCTCCTCCTCCGCCTCCTCCGCCTCCTCCGCCTCCTCCTCCTCCTCCTCCTCCTCCTCCTCCTCCTCCTCCTCCTCCTCCTCCTCCTCCTCCCCTCCAGGTAACGAGACGATTCGTGCTGACCTCCGATCTGGCTCTGGTTCTGCCTCGACGTTCCCAGGCGGCGCCTGCACGCAACGAGGCGTTACCAGCGCCCCGCTCCCCTCCCCCCGCCCTCCGGAAACGCCCGCTATCGCCCGGGAATGTCGAGACGCTCGCCCGGAGGAACGGAAGGGGCGACTTGGGGGGAGGGAGAAACGGGGACGGGGGGGAGGGAGGCGGGAGGCAAGAGGTGAACAGGGCGGGATCACCCCCTCGCCCCGCCCCGTCGTCCGCGGAGAGTGGGAGGGGAATCGGGGGGAAAGGGGGAAAAGGGAAACGGGGGCACGGTGACGGTGGGGCCCGTGGGGAAGGGAGGCGGGAGGCGGGAGGCGGGAGGCGGGAAGGGGGAGGGGAAGGAGGGAGGCAAGGCGGGAAGCGGGAGGTGGGAGGTAGGGGGTTGGATGGTAGGGGGTTGGGGAGTAGCGGGCAAGGGCTGGAGCGGGGAGGGAGGGAGGGAGGGAGAGACCGCAGTGAGGGGGGGGTCGCGCATGCGACAGCGGGCGGCAGGCGGCGTGGGCCAGCGGAGCACACTGAGACAGAGGGCGCGGAGGACCGCGATAACCAAGACGACCAAGACTCGCAAGCTGGGGTCCGATCAGCACCCACACGAGGGCCTGGACACGCACATTACCAGGACGCCTCGGACCATGTACCAGCAATCACGGCCCGACCCCCCTTTGGGGCAACTTGTTGGACGGACCGGTGAACACCTGCCTGCGATCCAGGGCAGCGACCCGTGAATCAGGCGATGAAGGCAGCACCGCCGACGGCACTGACGACCTCAGCCTCTTCGGCGGCACAGGCAGCGCAGTCGAAGTCCACCCCAGCGAGGGCAGAAGGACGAAGCAAAAGGCGGCGTGACGCAGCGGACCCAGCGAGCAGGCGAGGACGGAAACGACAGCGCGCTTGTGGACGGCCTGCACGACACCTGCATCAGCATCAGCCGCACCCACGAGGGCGATTCGCAACGGCTCGCGCCCGTCGCCGACGGAGGTCGGAACTGCGGAGCCCGACAGGCTCCTCTGGCTCCGAGCCCCGCGGCGCGCTCGGGACACCGGGGGGCCCCCGTCGAAGCGCGGGCGACGCGGCGCGCCGAGGAGGGCACGGAGGCGCGGCAGCCGCGACCGCTCCCGCCGGAGGCGACGCGCGGACCGCGGAGACCAGCAGCAGACATGCGCCCCTGCCGGCGGCAACCCACCCGCACGACGCGGCCGAAACGTGCCGCGCCGCGCGGGCGGAACCTCGGCGCCTGCCTCGAGGCGCGCGCTGCGCGCGCTGCAAGGCGGCGCGGGCTGCCGAGCCCGGGGCAAGCGCAGCCACGGCGTGCGGGGAGGGGCACGCAGTGGAGACGAGCACGCGGGCGGGGCCCGGGCCACTGCGAAGCCGCCCGGGCCCGCCGGCAGTCGACTGGAAGACTCCAGTGGTCTCCGGGCGCAGGTGGGCTAGAGAGGCGCGTCTTCCAAGCCGCGTCATCCCCTTCGGGGAGGGGTTCACCCCTCCCCCTTACCCCCATCCCCTGGACCCCCGTCATCCCCTTCGGGGAGGGGTTCACCCCTCCCCCTTACCCCCCACCTGGACCTGGACGGTGGGTTCCGCGAGGAGTTGGAGCGTCCAAGATGGCCCAAGACGGCTCCAAGAGCGCCTCGGAGAGCCCAAGATGACCTCCAAGATGGTTCCCAAGATGACCCAAGAGGCCCCAAGAACGCTCCAAGACGGCTCCAAGTGGACAAAGAGCCTCCCAAGGAGGTCCCGAATACGAAGATTCCAAAACCTAAGGAAACTCTATGTTGTTTGCTTTCTCGCCTTTTCGCTTCCGATGACCGTCCGAGGCGTCAAGATGGCTCCAACATGCCCTACGAGGGCGCCAAGAGGGGCTCAAGAGAAGCCCAAGACGACCCCATGAGCGCCCGAGAGCGCTCCAAGAGCGCCCAAATAGCGCCCCAAGAGGTGATGTTTTAGGCTCCCGAGGGGGACCCTAATTGAGGCTCCCCTCTTTTGTTGTCGATGTCTTCTAAGATGGCTCCAAGAGCGCCCCTAAAGCTCCGACGAGCGCCCCAAGAGGACACCAAGAGGCGCCCAGGCGGCCCCAGGAGGCGCCCTAGGGACCTCCAAATGCCTCCCAAGAGACCCCCAAGATGCCTCAAGAGGATCCCCAAGGCACCCAAGACGCTCAACGACTGCCCTGGGACCCCCCAGACGCCCCAAGAGGCACCCAAAAAGCTTCCGAGCAACATCAGAGGAGACGCCGAGAGGCATTCAAAGGGCTTCTGGCTCTTCTGTTCGCCGTGTTCCTCCTCCTCCTCCTCCTCATCCTCCTTCGCCTCCTCCTCCTCCTCCTCCTCCTCCTCCTCCTCCTCCTCCTCCTCCCCCTCCTCCTTCTCGTCCTCGTCATCATCCGCATACTCCTGCTGCTGCTGCTCCTCCTCCTCCACCTCCTCCTCCCCGCCTCCTCCTCCTCCGCCTCCTCCTTCTCCTCCTCTCCCTCCCCCTCCCCCTCCCCCTCCCCCTCCCTCCTCTCCCTCCTCCCCTCCTCCTCCTCCTCTCCTCCTCCTCCTCCTCCTCCTCCTCCTTCTCTCCCTCCTCCTCCTCCTCCTCCTCCTCCTCCTCCCCCTCCTCCTCCTCCCCTCTCCTCCTCCTCTCCTCCTCCTTCTATTCCTCATCCTCATCCTCTTCCCTCCTCCTCCTCCTCATCCTCTTCCTCCTCCTTCTCCTCAGTATCATCATCATCATCATCATCATCATCATCATCATCATCAATCATCATCATTCATCAGCAGCAGCAGCGCAGCAGCATCATCAACATCATCATCATCATCATCATCAGCACCATCATCAGCATCAGCATCATCATCAGCATCATCATCATCATCATCAGCATCACATCATCATCATCATCATCAGCATCATCATCATCATCATCATCATCATCATCATCATCATCATCATCATCATCATCATCATCATCATCATCATCATCATCATCATCATCCGCACATTCAACATCCGTCTCCTCCATCATCCATCCCCCTCCCCCTCCTCCTCACCCCCCTCCTCCTCCTCCTCCTCCTCCTCGTCCTCCTCCTTCTCCTCCTCTTCCTCCTCCTCCTCCACCTCCTCCTCCTCCTCTTCCTCCTCCCTCGAACGATGACGACCGTCCCCCCATGTTGCTCCTGCGCTTCCATGATCGTGTTAACTCGCCTGGGCGTCGGATTGAGATGGCTTGGTGGGGATACGCGAAGCGTCAGGCGGCAGGAGGAGGGAAAGACAGGCGAAAGCGGCCACGGGGGAGGAGGGAGGAGAGGGAGGTCACTCACATGTCCAGAACACGACAAGAAGAAGAGAAACGCTGAGAAAGGATCTCACGAAAACGCATTGCCCACTGACACGAGCTGCGCTACTGACGCGAGAGAAAAAAGGAGGAGAGAAGGATGAGAAAGGACGCCACGCGCCCTCGGCAGCGCGTGCTGCACACCAGACGCCAGTGGTCGGCGGACGCCACATGACCACCTCACCGATCATGGCCAGGCCGATCCCTGGCCGACGATGGGTGCATGCGCCTCCCTGGCCAAGCCAGGAGTCACCGACGTCGCCCGCGCTGGGCGCCCCGAGCGGAGGCGGAGACGCAGTACTAGCGGCCGCGGCAGCACGAGCGGCCAGGCAGCGGCTATGGATCAACCCACGGCCCGCACGGATGTCTGAGGCTGGTGCGGAGGGGCGAGAGGGGATGAAGGAATGAGCCACTTGCAGCCCACTGGCTGCTGCGCTCTGCAACCAAAGAGAGAGAGAGAGAGAGAGAGAGAGAGAGAGCACGCAACCAAAGGACGCGTGCCTCGAACTGCTCGGATGGGCGGGCAGGAGCGCGAGGAGGGCGAGGGCGAGGAGGGCGCGGGCGGAGAAGGGGAGGGCGAAGACAACGGCGGGCAGCGCCGCGGCCCCAAGGCCGCGGCATGTCCACCGCGTGCCCTCCTCGCCTGCGCTGCGGCTCCGGGCGGCGTGAGCCCGTCCGCGCGGCGCGGCTGCACCTCGGCGCGCGCGGTCTGCCCGATCTCGGCGCGCGCGCGGAGGCCAACGGGCACCGTGGCCAGCGTGGAGGTCCATCGGCTGCGGCTCGGGCTGCGACGGAGGCTTCGTGACTAGGGTGGCGCCATCTGCCCGGCGGGCCGGCGCAGCCGCCCGGAAGCGAGCACGAGGAGGCCCCGGGGCACCAGGCGGCCCGCTCCAGGAGCCCTGAGCCCCCAACACGATGGCCACCTCCTTGGGGTGCATCGCTCGCTTCCGCCAGTGAAACCACTCCCAGTCTGACTTCCGCCGGCTTCCGCCGCCATCCGCCACGGAAGCGACGTCAACGTCTCGATCCCTCGAAGGCGCGGCCCATCCTGAAACTGCCGAAATAGCAACGCATGCCAGCGCGGGCACGGCCATCACGAAGCGGAGCACCGCGCGGGCGGCATGACAGCTGGGGTGCTCCGCGGGGCAGGCCGCGACGGAGCGCGAAGCATCACGCGTGACGTAAGGCAACCTGCTGACTTGAGAACCATGGCTGCAGGTAGGATGAACGAGGAAGAAGGGCGAGGGAGCGGGACGATGGAGGAGGGGTGGAATGAGGCAGGAGGCAGGAGGGATACAGGCTCTCCTGCTCATCGTCCTTCTCCTCTTCCTATTCCTCTTCCCTCCCTCCCTCCTCCCTCCTCCCTCCTCTTCTCTCCATCCCCTTCCTTCTTTCCCCCTCCGACCCCACTACTATTCCTTCTTCTCGGCGGGGGGGGGAGGGGGGGCGATGCGCGGCTTCGCTGCGCGGGTTCCTCTTCCCGCCCCCTCTCCGTCCTATGCTGGGCCCGAAGCAGCTGCCGACCTCGTCCTGCCAGTCCAGCTGCGCGCACGTCCTGTCGCCCCACCAGCATCCTCCGCATCATCCTCCTCCTCCTGATCCTTCTCCACATCCTCCTCGCCCTCCTCGTGATCATCATCCTCAGCATCATCATCACAATCATCAGCGCCAACACGTCATCACCACCATCATCACCGTTCTCTCACTCCTCAGATGCTCCGACTCGGATACTCCTCCTCCTCCTCCCTCCCGCCCGCACGCCCTGCTTCCCTCCCTCCCTCACTCCCTCCCGCCCCTCCCTCCTCCTCCTCCTCCTCCTCCTCCTCCTCCTCCTCCTCCTCTCCTCCTCCTCCTCCTCCTCCTGCTCCTCCTCTTCTCCTCCTCCTCCTCCTCTCCTCTCCTCCTCCACCTCCTCCTCCTCCTCCTCCCCTCCTCCTCCCCTCCTCCTCCTCCTCCTCCCCCTCCTCCTCCTCCTCTTCCTCCCCCTCCTCCTCCTCCCTCTTCCTCCTCCTCCTCCTCCTCCTCCTTCTCCTCCACTCCTTCTTATTACTTGTTATGTTGCTTCGTTGTTCTTGTTCTTCTCCATACTATGACTACTACTAGTAGAAGTAAGGTCAGTGAGTTTAATGAGAATACGAGTAAACATAATACCAATTGTGATAATAATAAGAATAACTCCTAAGTGTTATAATGATAACAAAATAAATTTCAAAATAAACATAGAATGATAATTCACCTCCTCATCCTTCTCCTCCTTCTGCTCGTCCTCTTTGTCCCTCTGCAACTCCCTTCTCCTTCTCCTCCTCCTCCTCCTCCTTCTCCTCCTCCTCCTCCTCAGAGTTGGCGTCGAGACTCGAGGCTGGTGAGCCGTCCTGCGGACCACGCGGACGCAGGAGCCAACCGGAGCAGGCCCTCCAGAGGGCAGAGCACAGCCACATGGTCGGCCGATCCCCGGGCATCTCTTGGGAGGTCTTGGTAGGAACGAGCAAATGCTACTAAGTCCTCCTAGGGGGCCATCGGGCCAGAGTAGCCCAGCCTACGCGCTGGACTACGCCGAAGGAGGCCGGATGAGCCAGGATTAGGCGGCATTCCTCGGGACTGTGCCGGATTAGGCTGGTGTTCGACCACGGACATACCATCGCCGATGCTGGAGTGAGCCTCCCAAGAGTTGCATCCCAAGTTCTGGCAGCCTCCCTGGACGGCCACCGCCTCGAAGGAGATCGAGGCGGCCAGATTGTCGCCACTACTCCTTGGCCTCCGGAGGCTGGCTTCGGGCCGGGGAGCCAGACAAGAATGCCTGGGATGAACTAACCCGCTGCCTAGAGTTCAGTGAAGTCTCAGCTAAGCAGACGGACGTTACTCGAAACGCGCCCTTTTACAATTGCCCAAGTCCGGGTGCACGGAAATGCGACGAACAAGAGAAGCTCCCGGAAAACGCGCAGGCCCAGCCAAGGTTCTAGATTCTCTCAATCGAAGTCTGGAGTCGATGAGAATTCGCACTCTTTCGTCAGATCTTTGATGGGTATACTCGCCCCGGCTACAGACTTGATGTACCGACTACAGAATTTGGTCCAATCGCCGAAAGTACACCGAATGCTGCGTAGGTCGACTGAGCATTCTACGACTGCTCGCTGGCTCGACGAAACGACACTCTCGGTGTGCATCAATTCTGCACGTCGTCGATCTCCTCTCGCCTGGGGGAAGGCGCCGAAGAGCCCAGGGGCCCCGCGCCCGTGGGCCGCCTCTGTATGGCCGCCCCTGGGCCCCCCAGGCCCGCCTGGCCGGCTCCGGGGCCGCGCGTGGCCCTCGGAGTGCCAACGGCTGACCGCACGGGAGCGGGGAGGGGGCCTGGTGGGCGCCTCTGTCTTCCGACTCTGGCCCGGATGGTGGGGGAGGGGGGCGACGTTTGCCCCGAATGGTGGGGGAGGGAGGACGAGGAGGAGGACGAGGAGGACGAGAAAGAGAACGAGGAGGATGACGAGGAGGAGGACGAGGAGGAGGAGGAGGAGGAGGAGGAGGAGGAGGAGGAGGAGGAGGAGGGGGTGGGGGGTCTGGGTCCGGGCTGGTGCTTCGTCGATCTGCGTAGTCGTTGGCGGCGCGCACAAAGGGGGTCGGGGGAGGGTGGGGCGGGCTTCTGAGAGAGAGGCTGCTTCCCACAAGGCGCAGGCCCCACATCTACGCGTGGGGCCCGCGCCTTCTAAGAAGCAAGGGTGCTTTGAGAAGCCCTCCCCACTCCCCCCAGCCCCCTCTGCGCGTGGCTGACCACGGTCGGCCGGATGGGGTCGGGGGGTGGGTCTGGCGGACCCCCGTTGCCCAGAGACCCGAAGATGATTCGGAAGAAAGTGTAGCATCGCGGGAAATCACAACCGGAGCCCCAGATCACATCCTTCCACAGCATGTATGTGTCGAGCCGGATCCCAGCAGCGGTGGGCCCAGAACCGGGCGAAAACGCCCGGTGAGAAGCCATACCAGAGATCCGATGTCCTGTTTTTTGCTCGATACGGGGTCCCCTGAATCGCCCGACCCACTCCCCAGGACCGGCTTCTCATCCCGAGTGTTTGTTACAGTCCCGGACCCCTGCACGGGCCTTCAGAGGCCGAAGACGGTGAAAAACCTACGTCTTGATTTGATCAATGCGATGCCCGTCTGGGATTGCAACGCCCGGATCTCAAGGTTCAGCGCCCCGAGCGTTCCCAGGGCATCCTGGAAGACGTCGGCGGCGACGCCACGGGCAGGCCGAGGAGCGCGACCGGCCGCGGCGTCGGGGCCATCGTGGGGGGCGGCGTCGACACCGCGGCCTGGAAGCCCGACAGGACGAAGCCCGACAGGCCCTGCTCGGCCACGCCGGCCTGCGCTTTCGACGGCGGCGACACTCCCGACGAGTTCGGCGACGACGACGACGACGACGACGACGACGACGACGACGACGACGACGACGACGACGACGACGACGACTTCGGCGTCGACCGCGACTTCGACGGTTTCAACTTCGGCTTCGACTGCGTCGACGACGACGACGACGACGACGACGACGACGACGACGACGACGACGACGACGACGACGACGGCGGCGGCGGCGGCGGCGGCGGCGGCGGCGGCGGAAGCGGCCTCCGCCAGGGAGCTGCGCAGGGAGGCGCTCACCGCGCTGGCGTTGCCGCTCGCCTCGGCGGCGGCCGCCTGCACGGCCGCCACCTCTGCCTCCGGCACCTCGGCCTCGGAGGCTGGCCGCTGGGGGGGGGGCATGGCCGAGTGGGACTTTTGCCCAGCGTGTCGCGGCGGCGGCCCCAGCGACACGCTGCGCCCTGCCACACACCCTCGGGTCGTGAAAAACGGCCCCAGCGACACGCTGCGCCCTGCCAGACACCCTCGGGTCGTGAAAAAACTTGGCGGAGGGGTTTTGCCTGTTGTCGGCCTCTGAGGGCCCTCACCGGGCCTCGGGCCCGTGAAAGAACAGCTCAGGATGAGGAACTGGTGCAGGGAAGTGGGTCGATACCTCCGGGGGTCGACGTTAAGAAAAAGCATGACGTACCCTTTCCTCTTCCCCCTTCCCCCTTCCGCCTCCCCCTCCCGCCCTCCCCCCGCCCTCCTCCCTCCTCCCTCACCACTCCCCCTCCCCGTCCTCGTCCCTCCGCCCTCTCCTCGCCCCTCTCCCACATCACCCCCTCCCCCCATCATCCCCCATCATCCCTCCCTCCCGCCATGGTCCCTCCCCTCCCTCCCGCCCCCCTCCGAAGCTGCACTCGGGGATCCAGGACGCCCGGGCCTCGTAGCTCACAAGCCAGCTGCCCGTCAGGCGCCTGGCCGCGAGGGCCCCAGGAGGAGGAGGAGCAGCAGCAGCAGCGGGGAAGGAGGAGAGGACGAGGAGGGGGGAGGCAGGGCGGGGAGGGAGGGACACGCTGAAGGAGGGGAGAAGAAGAAGAAGAAGAAGAATAAAAATAAGAAGAAGAAGAAGAAGACGAGGAGGAAGACGAGGAGGGGTGGAGGACTGAGAAGGAGGATTGGGGAGGATTAAAGACAAGAGAATGAGCAACAACAGCAGCATCAGGAATGAAGGAAGGGTGGAGGACATCGGGAAGAGGACCAGCAGAAGCCTGGATGACGATGACATAGAAGGAGCAGAAAGATAAAGCGAAGGCAGGAGGGAGGAGGGAGGAGGGAGGACAGAGGATGGAACCAGAAGGGGGAATAACGCGAATTAGGTGCGCTCGCGACATACATGATGTCCTACCCCTTCCACACATCCCCTACCATTGCGCTGATTGTTCTCAATCCACGGAACCCTGTCATAGCGGACGGGGCAGAGCTAGGGGAGAAAGAAGAATAGTGGACATGTAAACGAGGGGAATATGAGAGAGGGTAGAAGAGGGACGGAGGGAGCGAGGAAGGAAGGGATGGAGCGAAGAGGAGAAAGAAGAATGGTCGGAAGAGGAGTAATATGATGACGAGCGGGAGGAGCAGGAGGAAGAGGAGTAGAAGAGGAAATCAACAAATCTCTGGGTTGGCTCCCGCCTTGGTGACCTGATTACCTCGCCCTCACTGCACTGTGTGCCCGGTTGGCTGTAGTTGCGTTACTCGTTAGCACCGGTGGGTGTTCTCCTGAGGCTCCCTCGCAGCGCTTCTCAGGAAATCCAGGACGGGAGGAGTAGATGGAGGAGGGGACACAAATCTGGCATTTGATCCAGAACTGTTCTGACGGCCCTGGGGCCTGGTAAAGGCCTGCCCCGACTCGGAGATTGTTGCACAGGTCACTGGACTTCCTGCGTGGCATTCTGGCTGGCGACTCCGCCCGTGGGGGCGAGGAAAGCCCAGAGAAGGCTCAAAGCGTTCGATCCTCGAACATCGGGGAGAAAGACGATAGACTTCGTGTGTGGCATTCTGGCTGGAACGTCGGGTGAGGCCGCCCGCGGGGACGAGGAGGTCCAGCGGAGGCTCAAAGCTGCGACCCTCGAGCCCCTCGAGGAGGAGAGAGAGAAAGAGGAGGCAGAGCGGCGGCCCTGAAGCAAAACGTCATGCCGGTTCACAAACGCAGGACCCCCATTGGAGGCCTGCGTTGAAGGGGCCCACCGACACACATATATAATACAATATGACATAATATAATATGATATAATGTAATATAACAATATTTAAAAGCTATGATGTATTACCATATATTATGATAAAGTATATTATGATATATACCATATACTATGATATATGATAGTCTGATATAATACAATATAATATAACATACAATAAAATCGTATACTATAATGTAATACATATATAGAGTCATATAAAACACTATGGTACAACAAATAGCATATAAAATGATAACACAATATAATATAAGATAATAAAAGATAAGATAATATAATATAATATAGTATAATGTAAAACAATATTATACACCATGATATAATATGATATGATATAATGTAATATACGTTACTATAACATAAACATATACTACAATATCGTAATCGATAAATATACTATACTATACCATAACATGATTTAGAAATTGAAAAAACGATAGCGTGATACAATACAATATTATATAATATGATATACTGTCATATATAAAAATAAAAATACAATATAATATAATATGATATAATAGTATATTATATACTAAGCTATAATACGGTATAGTACAATACTATACCATATAATATGGCATGGGTGCATATAATATAACAAACTAAAATATGATATGATATAATAAGACATAATACAACATGATATAGGATACTATAATATGGCATACCCTTAGAAACATAATATCATATAATATATACATTCGGGCATTGATATTCTATAGTAAAAAAACATAATATAATATCTTGATACTTCATATAATAAAACAAAGTCTAACATGATACAGCCTGATATAACATGATGTAGCATAATATAACATAATATACCATAATATAACAGACGACAACATACTAGAACACAGTATATCATAACATGATATAGTATAATATTAATCATATATTAAGATATGATGGTATATAATATAATATAACATTAGATAATACAAATACAATATAATATAATATGATCTAATACAATATAAGAAAACATAACTATAATTAATACCATAATGCTGTAATAATACCATATAATATAATACGATATGCTAGAACATAATTTCGTATAGTGTAAGATGATAGGATAGAATAGAATAGAATATGAGATAGTATATATATGTATATATACACATATGTATATACACATGTATATATCTGTATATATACACAAACCCCATGAGTCCGCATTTGTTCGCATATTTCCTGGCCTTCCGTCTCCCCGCCTTCCCATATCTTCGCACAAGTCTTGGGAATCGACGACGACTTGTGTTTGTGTTTTTTCCCCTCCTGCTATATATATATATATATCCGGAAGGATCGAACTTCTGGGGCCTGCCGAAGATGCCAGGGGGCCAGGCTCCCGCGGCAGAGAAAAAAATCTCTTGCGAGGGCTTTGTGCACGTGGGTTACCCCCCTCTCAATATTTTTTTCGTTTTTTTAAAAAATATTGTTTGTTTTTTAGATATTAAAAAAGGACCGACATGAAGTGACATCTCAGGCGCAGGGGCGCTCGCGCGTGATTCCCCCCCACCGGCGCAACCAGAGAAAGAAAAGCGCGAGAGCCCAGATTGCAAACGTAACGCAGCAACGCTCCAGAAGTAGTTCACCAAAAAAGTTGTGCTAGCACGTGCGCGGGCGCAGATTGTTCTACCGTGGTGCTCTAAATGGCGAGGCACGCGCGGAGGAAGGGAAGACATCCACACGCCGCCAGAGGTCCAAGGTTGAATGGGTCGCCGCGCAGAGGGACCTCCACGGAAGGAAGAAAAGAAGCCTGGCGGAGGGGGGTCCGGGCATGAGTCGGGGAGGTGATGCTACAGTGAAAACGTATAGTAAGGACGCGTGGTAAGGACGCAAGACCCTTGGAGGCCGAAATTGAAGCATTCTGGCCTACGAAAATTACTAGGGACGGGCCGCAGAGGCTGAGGCAGGCAAGGGCCCAAGGGTACCCTTGAAAAAGACGTTTGTCCTTACTATGCGCGTTGACTGTAACGTTCGTGCAGTTCTGCGGGCCTTCCGCCACCTGCCTGGTGGCCGGGCGCACCGCACGGGCGATCCCGAGCTGGGCCTCGGGGCCAAGCGTTCCTCCCCCCTCCGCGAATGCGGCACCGGCGACACGCGGGTTCCGCGAGGTCGGCGTGAGCGAGGCGAGGAGGGGGAGGAGGAGGAGGAGGAGGAGGAGGAGGAGGAGGAGGAGGAGGAGGAGGAGGAAGAGGAGGTGGAGGAAGAGGAGGAGGAGTAGGAGGAGGACCAGTGTAAACCCTAGAGTCACCAACGATGCTTAAGTAAGCCCTTCTTCCAAGCTCCCTCTTCATAGGCACCTAGAACGGTTCATTTCCACTAAGGGAACTGCCTCACAAACGTTTGAAGACCGTGCAGCATGCCAAAGCATTGTTCTCGGGATTTCAACGCCACGGATCGACCTGACTGTTGCGTCTTGACGATCCAGAATCGCGCCAGAACGCCATTCCCGGGATTTCAACACCGCGAATCAGCAGAACTGTTGCGCACTCATCATCCAAAACCCGACCAAAACACCATTTCCGGTGCGCTGATCATGGAAATCCGCGAAACTCTTGCAAATTGTTAAATATGACTGTGCGCGACGCTTGAACGAGAGCCACATTTTGAAAACGACCCGCCCTCAATCCGTGAAACTCTTGTAAATGTTTTAAAGCGAATGCACGCGGCGTTAAGACGAGAGCCACATATTGAAAACGGTTCGCCCTCAATCCATGCATCTTTTGCAACTTTGAAAAACGAATGCGCGCGGCGCTGATGCGAGAGCCACATATTGAAAGCGACCCGCCCCCTGTGTGTGAAACAGTTGCCACGGTTTGAAGCTTCAGAATCATAAAAGGTGCGAAAATCTCAAGCGAAACACCAGCCCGCCCTAAAATCTGGCCTCGGGGTGCGACAGGGAGAACTTGCTTATAGGGAACCTGAGTGGAGGAGGCGGAGGAAAACAAGTAGCATGTGAGCGACAAGAAAAACCAGGTCTTGCGCGGGCTGACACAGCGACCTCACGCGGTGGCGCACGCAGGCGCCAGCGCGGCAATCTGCATTGGAAACGAAGGCGGTTACGCGCGATCTTACGCGGGCAGCGTACGCACGAATGTCCGCGCAATCGAACCCATTGTTCTCCGTCGCTCACGTGGCGCAGCAGATGCCGATCACACCTACATGCTGATGGCAGCCGGAGCCTCTCGAAGTATGTTCACGTATACGGAGGAGGTCTCGGGAGGGGAATCGGCGCGGGGTACAAATCAGGGAGCGCGAGCCCAATCTGAACGACGGAATCGGAGGTGAGAGGGGAGCGAGACAGGGACATGAACCCGAGAGGGGAAGGAGGAGGAGGCGGAGGAGAAGGAGGAGGCGGAGGAGGAGAGCAGGAGGAGCAGGAAGACCCAGCGATGCCATCATTTTTACAACACGCACTCCCCGAAGTCCCGATCCTTTCCCCAGGGCCGGTTTTGCATCCCGAGTTGTTTTGGGGGTCCGGCAAGGGCTCCCGGAGGCTGAACAAAAATAAAAAACATCCGTCGTTATTGTTCAATACGTCGCATCTCTGCGAGGGAAAATGAGAAGGAGGAGGAGGAGGAGGAGGCGGAGGAGGAGGAGGAGGAGGAGAGGGAGGAGGAGGAGGAGGAGGAGGAGGAGGAGGAGGAGGAGGAGGAGGAGGAGGAGGAGGAGGAGGAGGAGGAGGAGAAGGAGGAGGAGGAGGAGGAGAAGAAGAAGCCGAAACCATGCGCACAACGCGCACGATCTGCTCATGGAATCCACTGTGCGCTGGGCTACGCCTTGCGTCTGGGACCCAATCTGGATCCCGTACACATCAAACAGGGGGATGTAATCAATGACGCTGCGAGCATGCTCGATTGATAGGACAATCGGCATGGCATGTGAAACTCAGGCACCAAAGTGCCCGGAGGAGGAGAAGAAGGACAACCAGTGCAACCCCAAGACTCATCAACGATGTTGAGATTTACCCTCCCTCCAAGCTCCCTCTTCCTAGGCTCCCTCTTTACAGGCCCCCACTGAAGGAATTGCCCCGTTGGGAGATATAAAGCACAGTTCCCAGGACTTCAACGCCACGAATCAACTTGACTGTTGCCTCTTGACGACCCTGAGTCATACCAGAACGTCTTGCCTGAGACTGTAAATCTGCGAGACAACGTAATTGTTGCGCCCTGACAATCCTGAATCGTTCCGAAACGCCGTTGTTGGTACGCTCATCATGAGAACCCTGGAAACTCTTGCACCTGTTGCAGACGAATGCGCGCGGCGCTTCGGCGAGAAACACATTTTGAAAAAGAGATGCCCTCAATCCGTGAAACTCTTACAAATTGTAAAGACGAACGTGCAAGGCGCTGAGGCGAAAGCCACATGTTGAAACCACTTGTCCTCAGTCCGCGAAGGTCCTGAACATGTTCAAAAAGCGAATGCGCGCGGCGCTGAGGCGAGAGCCACATTTTGAAACCACCCGCCCCGAATCCACGAAAGCCTTGCAATGTTCGACAGCGGATGCGCGCGGCGCTACAGCGAGAGCCACACTTAAAGAACTCACCCGCCCTCTTGGGCGCCCGAATTATCCGGGGTAACTCGGGTCCGGGGTAACTCGGGTTTGGATTCCCGGAAAAGGAACCCGAGTTAGCCCTGACCCGAGTTATCCCTGATGATTCGGGGCTCTGGACGCCCGAGTTATCCGGGGTAACTCGGGTCCGGAGTAACTCGGGTTTGGATTCCCGAGAAACGAACCCGAGTTAGCCCTGACCCGAGTTACCCCTGATGATGTGGGGCTCTGGACGCCCGAGTTATCCGGGGTAACTCGGGTCCGGGGTAACTCGGGTTTGGAATCCCGAAAAACGAACCCGAGTTATCCCTGACCCGAGTTACCCCTGATGATTCGGGGCTCTGACCTCCGTTCGTGAAACACCTGCCCGCTTCTGAGCTTCAGGACCGTAGCTGGCAAGGAAGCCTCGGGCGACACGCCCGGCCCGCCCTTCCGACGGGCCTCGGGGGCGTGACAGAAACAAGTGACTCCTCAGGAACAGGAATGAAGGAGAAGGGGCATGGGAAGGAGGAGGGGAAGGAGGAGCAGCAGGAGGAGGAGGAGGACGAGGAGGAGGAGGAGGAGGAGGAGCGGCCGCAGGAAGAGGAGGAAGACGAGAAGGAGGAGGAGGAGGACGAGGAGGAGGAGGAGGAGGAGCAGGAGGAGGAGGAGGAGGAGGAGGAGGAGGAGGAGGAGGGCGCCTGGGCGGGGCGCGCCCCGTGGGCAGCCGCCGCGCGCTGGCCACCGAGACGGCCACCGCCTCCCGCGCCACGCCGAAGAGGTCCGCCACGGTGGTCCTCGAGGCGTCCTCGACCTCCGCGGGAGGCCGACGCGGCCTCTCGCCATCGCTCGGACGTCCATTCCCCGTGCAGTTTTCGGTTTCGTGCGTGCTTTTTTCGTCAGATGATCCAGGATGCTCCTCGCTTGTCCCCGCCGAAAAAAAACGCACACGTCCGAGCGATGCCAAGGCCCCCGGACCTCCAGCGCACTGCAGGAGCACTGCAGGAGGCAGCTGATGGGAGGCCTTCGTGAGAACGAGCAGGCGCTATCCAATTTAGCCCGAAAAATGGGCCATGGAGGCAGATCAGTCCGGCTGTTGACCACGCATCTACCAGCGCCGATGCTGAGGTTAACCTCTCGGGAGTTGTATCCCAAAGCGCTGAAATGTCTCACCATGTTCGGCCTCTTGGGTGCCCTCACCAGTCCCAGGACTATGGAAAGAGGACAAAACTGCCCTGGGGAGAGGATCGGGAACTCCACGGACCTCTCACTGCGGCCCCGAAGCGTCTCGACAACGGACGGCCTCGAGGACGAAGGTCGATCGGCAGATCGGCATCCAAGCAGTGCGTGCGCTTCCCGCGCCTCCGCCTGCAGCCGCCTGGCTTTGCCGCCCGGTCAACCGCCGAGGACGATGTGGTGGTGAATCGGCTCTGGGCGTGTCCCGCCACTGCTGCCCCGTCGCCTGGAATCACTGGCGCTTCGGAAGAAAGAGTGTGTGTGTGTGTACGTGTGTGCGCCGATGAGTGTGAGCAGGCGCTTGGCCAAGAGAGCACAAGGTGAACAATGGAGAGGCGGCGTGGAAGAGGAGAGCGTCCAGTGGCCTGAAGGGCAGGGGAGGGTGGAGGGAGAGGAGAAGGAACGCAAGAGGGGGGGAGAAAGAGGGAGGGAGGAAGGGAGGGAGGAGGAGGATGACCAGGAGGACAAGGGAGAGGAGCGGAAAGCGAGAGGAGGAGCAGGAAGAGGTAGAGCAGGAGGAGGAGGAGGAAGAGGAGGAGGAAGAGGAGGAGGAGGAGGACGACCAGTGCAAACCCAAGACTCATCAACGATCTTGCAAACTCCCTCTTCATAGGCCCCTACAAGGGTTCACCTCTACTGATGTAAATGCCTCGTGGGGAGATAACCATTTTGAGACCCTGGAGCGTGCCAAAACACCATTCTCGGGACCCCAACGCCATGAGTCAACCTGACCGTTGCGTCTTGACGATCCTGAATCATGCCAGGACACCATTCCTGGGACTTCACCACCGCGAAACAAAATAACTGTTGCGCCCTGACAATCCTGAGTCCTGACAGAATATCATGCCTAGCACTTCGACTGTGGGAATCCGTGAAAGCATTGCACTTTGTTTAAGGGAATGTGCGCGGCGCTAATGGCGAGAACCATATTTTGAAAACGAGCCACCCTCAATCCGCAAAGCTATTGCAACTTGAGGCGAATGGCGCGGCGCTAAGGCGAGAACCACACTTTGAGAACGGCCCGCCCTCAATCCGTGAAGCTCTTGCACATGTTGCAAACGAATGTGCCCGGCGCTGAGGCGAGCGCCACATTTTGAAGTGGTTCGCCCTCCATCTGTGAAGCTGTTATCACTTGTTTAGCTGCAGGGTCCTAAGCGGCGAGGAAGTCTAAGGCAAACGCCTGCCCCGCCCATTCGACCAGCCTCGGGGTGCGACAGGGAGGAGTTATTCCAGAAGGAACATGAATGGGGGAGGAGGAGGAGGAGGAAGAGGAGGAGGAGGAGGAGAAGAAAGAGGGGGAGGAGAAGGAGGAGGAGGAGGAGGAGGAGGAGGAGGAGGAGGACGAGGACGAGGACGAGGAGGAGGAGGAGGAGGCTGAGGGACGCGCCCCGTTGGGAGACAACCGTGTGAACATCCGGGAGCGTGCCAAAACACCATTCTCAGAACATCAACGCCACGAGTCAACCTGACGGTGGCGTCTTCACGATCCTGAATCGTGCCAGGACACCATCCCTGGGACTTCACCACCACGAATCAGCATAACTGTTGCGCCCTGACAATCCTGAGTCGCTCCAAACCACAGTTCTGGACAGGTAACGATGAGATTCCTCGAGGCCCTTGCTAATGTTTGAAAGGAAACTGCTCGGCGCTCAGGCGAGAACCACACTTTGAAAAAGAGCTGCCCTCAATCCGTGAAGCTTCTATCACTAGAATATGTACGCGGCGCCAAAGCAAACCACAATTTAACAACGAGCCACCCACATCCGTACAACTCTTGCATTGTGTTTGAACGAATGCGCACGGCGTTAATGCGATAACCACATGTTGAAAATGGCCCGCCCTCAATCCGTGAAACACATACAAAGTGTGATAACAACTGTGCGCGGCGCAAAGGGCAAACCACAGTGTGATAACGAGCCGCCCTCAATCCGTGAAGCTCTTGCAATGTTCTAACAACAGATGTACGCGGAGCCAGCGGTGAACCAAAATTTGAACACGAGCCGCCCTCAATCCGTGAAACTGTTGAGATGTTTTCAAACGAATGTGCGTGGCGCTAAGACGAGAGCCACATTTTGGAAACGACCCGCCCTGCATCTGTGGAGGATGAGGAGGGAGCAGGAGCGAGGAACAGGAGGAGGAGGAGAAGGCGGGAGGAGGGAGGAACAGGAGGAGGACGGAGGAGGAGAAGGAGAAGGAGGAAGAGGGAGAAAGAAGGAGAAAAAGGAGTCGGAAGACGAGAAGAAGGACAGAGGAGCGACGAGGAGGGAGGACGAGGAGGAGGGAAGAGAAGGAGTAGAAGGGGCAGGGCAGGAGGGAGGGAGGAGGGAGGGGAAGGAGGAGAACGGGGGAGAAGGAGGGAGGAGGGAGGAGGAAGAGGGGAGAGGAAGACAGGTGTGACCAATGGGTTGCTCGAGGCGGCCTCGGGGCTTCCCATCCGTGGCCAAACCGCGGCGAAGCACGGCAGCAGGTGACGTGTCCAGCCCCATCCAACACCACTCGAGGTGAGCAGCGCAACGATGATTTTGGACTCCGCGACCTCTGCCCAGTAACGTGTGCAACCTCACGATCCGGCTCCGCCGGGCCCAGCGTGAGACGCAAGTAAAATGCAAACAGGGCACAGTGATGCCAAGCCGGAACATAAGGTGCTTCGAGCAAGATGCGGCAACTCAAATTATCCGCGTCCTCCTCCCCCACCCCCCACCACTCCTCCGAACTCCATCTTCTCCAACTCTTGTTCGTGCTCCATCTCAGCTCCTCCTCCTCCTCCTCCTCCTCCTCCTCCTCCCTCTCCTCCTCCTCCTCCTCCTCCTCCTCCTCCTCCTCCTCCTCCTGCCCCTCCTCGCCATGATCCTGATCATCATGCTCCTCCTCCCCCCCGCTGCATCATCCTCCGTCTCATCCTCCTCATCCGCCTTCCCTTTTCTCCTGCTTCTTCCCCTCCTCCCTCCTCGTCCTCCTCCTCCTTCTCCTCCTCCTCCTCCTCGTCATCATCATCATCATCATCATCATCAGCAGCAGCATCATCATCCTTCTCCTTCTCCTCCTCCTCCTCATTATCCTCCTCCTCCTCCTCTTCCTGCTCCTCCCTCCACCTCACCTCTAGTAAAGCTTCGACCCCCAACATCAACTTCCCTTTCCCTCCCTCTCCTCTTTCAGCACAGATCGCGACGATTAGGATCGTCGAGGCAAAAGGTGCATGGGCTTGGGCAGGCTTTGGCACAGATGGCCACGACGGCGCCTCCCGCGCCGACGCCGCCGCCCGCCACCGACTGCAAGCAGGTGCAGCAAATTGGCTTTGGTACCTCACACCTGAAGCAGCGGGCGCCGTGTCAGCGGATGCGATGCGGCGTTCCATTCATCGGTGACCGTCGGAGTCGTCCCTCGCTCCCCCTCTCGCTCCCTTCTCTTCCACCATCCTCATACTTCACCTCCCCTTCCTCCATGTTGCTCACATTACCCTGGTCATACTCCACTTCACAATCACCAGCAGCATCCCACTGGTCATGATATTGCTGCTGATGTGAACGTGACTGCCCATACTTGTCCACGGCTGATATTGCGACTTCGGCAACTTCTACCACCACCACCACCACCGCCTACTACTACTGCTGTGATGCAACGTTATATAGCACAAATGCAATAATCACACTGTTGACATACTTTTCGTGCAGTACAGATACGAAGCGAACGGGATTCAAACACAACACGCTGGCACAATGTTGATACAATGCCTGGGGTTCATAAAGGATCAGACTGAAGATAGAATCCTGAATCCTGAATGTTCTAAAGGTTGCTGCTAGGACTTCGGAGGTCATCCGGGTTCCCAAAGAACGAAAATTGATTCTTGATGGATCCTCAGACGTCCAAGAAAATCCTGCGTAATCCTGGCGCCCCCGCAAATGCCCTGAAGAATTCTATTGGATCTCACGGGTTTCCAATGACTCATGTGGAATTTCCACGGACTTCCTGAATTCTCTAAAAGAAGAATGAGGATCCCTGGGGAAGTATAGGAATCCTAAGGGTTGCCATGGAAACCCTGAGGACTCCCGGTACCCCTCTGGGAATCCTCGATGAATCCAAGCAATTCCTGGAAGATCCTGACCGGCTACCACAGCACGTTCACAAATGACACGTGAGACGTGCAACGCCAAAACAAGATTCTCATATCTCTGCAAAAAAAAAACACATCTGGAAATGCCGTCCACCGGTGACAAGAAGTCCACCGTCCATCACCTACGACTGCCACAACAACAGCAACAGTCAGTTCGACACCCACAGCATTGGCCTTCGATCGTATTCCCCTCGGGGCTCCATCTTTCTTACCTGCCACATGCAGTTGGCGCAGCTCCTGAAACAGGGGACGTAGGGGCGCGAAACTCCGAGGAGGAGGGAGAAGGCTGGAGTAGGAGAGCACCTAGCAAGGGGGGGCAGGAACAAGAAAAACAGCAGCAGTACCAGACGGGCGCGCTGGGCGGACGGACCCGAATCAACGGGCGGAGCGGTCGGGCGGGCCCGGACGGCCGGGTCGGGCGGGCGCGTCGTGAAAGCGTGAACCCTGCATGGCTCGCGGGGAAGTCTCGAGCGACAGCGCGATTCACCGGTAATTCGTGGTCCAAAGCGAAGAGCGTCAGTCGCGCTTGTGGTGCAGCCCCTGAAACAAGTGGAGGAAAGGACGGATGGCGGGGGGAGGGGAAGATGAAACGCGAGAGCAATTAGCAGCAGGGCGCCCATTAGCAGAAAGCACGCGGCAGAGACCGAGGCGGGCAGATCGGGCGGGCGGACCTGAGCGGGCGGGTCGGGAAGACGGGCCCAGGCGGCCAGCTCGAGAAGGCGGGATGCTGAAGCGTGAGCCCTGCATGATTCGCGAGGAAGTCTCGAGCGATAGCGCGATTCCCAAGTGAATCGTGAGAGAGGCCGAAGCGAGAGCGTGATTGTTGCGTGTCGAGGGCGCGGCGTGTGAGTAAGTTGCGCGAAAGTCCCACGCGAGAGCGCGATTCCTGCATAAGTTGCGAGGAAGTCCCGCGCACGAAAGCGCGATTTTAGAATACATTGTCCAGAACTATCAGGCGGGAACCGATGCTGTTATAGTTCGGAGCCCAAAACCGCAGCTTGAGCACGAATCCATTCCCTGATGAAAAAACAGGGTGCGAGCCCCAGGAGGGGCACTTTTTTTTTTTAAAAAAAAAAAAAAAAAAAAAAAAAAAAAAAAATGTGCACCAGCGAGGTGGATCAGCAATAACTATTCTTCAAAAGCTGGAGCTCAACAGCAAGAACAACAACAACAACAACAACAATTACTAGCACGTGGGGACACACCGTTCTCACCAGTGCCAGGGTTTTCATAGGAGGCGGGCAATACCCCCACTTTGTGGGGGGGCCGGTTCAAGCTCTACCAAATTTCCAAACGACTCTTCGCCACCACCCACACCCAGCTTCCCGCCCTATGACGTTCGGACACTTCACTTCGTGGCATGCGGACGACCGTGGCTACTATTCAGGGCCCCGCGGCCGACGACGACGGCGTGCGCGCGCGAAGAAAAAACGAATGTGTCCCGCATGGTATTATTTGACAGGGATGATGGCCCTGGCAGGTGCGCAACCGTTGTTGCAGAAGTTCGAAAAAGTTGCTCGCAAAAGCCCGTTTGACAGAAATGTTTAAAAAGTGTTGGGTTTCCTACGAATCCGCAAGAGCGCGCGGGATGAAATTTTGACATTTTTTTGTTGAAAAACCATTGGTTTTTTGATGTTTTTATGTTAAAATCGCTACGAAAACTAAGGTTTTGGAAGGATTTCGTCTTGCGCGCGCGAATGTCCACTTTACCTTATTTTTTGCAAGGGATTCTTGAAGTTTGGTTATGTTAGAACAAGAAATGTCCACTTTAGCTTATTTTTTGCAAGGGAAAACCGATCGTAACAACACAACCGGATCCGGACCAACCCGTTTTGCCTGAGACTTCCTGACGAAAATGATGAAAATGAGGCTGCGGCCTAGGCGCGGCGGGGGGGTCGTGCACCAGGGGCCCCAACAATAATTATTCTTTAGAAGTAATAATGTTCAACAACAACAACAACAACAACAATTACTAGACTGGGGACACTCCGTTCTCACCAGTGCCAGGGTTTTCATAGGAGGCGGGCAATACCCCCACTTTGTGGGGGGGCCGGTTCAAGCTCTACCAAATTTCCAAACGACTCTTCGCCACCACCCACACCCAGCTTCCCGCCCTATGACGTTCGGACACTTCACTTCGTGGCATGCGGACGACCGTGGCTACTATTCAGGGCCCCGCGGCCGACGACGACGGCGTGCGCGCGCGAAGAAAAAACGAATGTGTCCCGCATGGTATTATTTGACAGGGATGATGGCCCTGGCAGGTGCGCAACCGTTGTCGCAGAAGTTCGAAAAAGTTGCTCGCAAAAGCCCGTTTGACAGAAATGTTTAAAAAGTGTTGGGTTTCCTACGAATCCGCAAGAGCGCGCGGGATGAGATTTTGACATTTTTTTGTTGAAAAACCATTGGTTTTTTGATGTTTTTATGTTAAAATCGCTCCGAACACTAAGCTTTTGGAAGGATTTCGTCTTGCGCGCGCGAATGTCCACTTTACCTTATTTTTTGCAAGGGATTCTTGAAATTTGATTATATTAGAACAAGAAATGTCATTTTATAGTGTTTTTTGCAAGGGAAAACGGATTACAACAAAACAACCGGATCTGGATCACATCGTTTTACCTGAGGCTTCCTCACGAAAATGATGAAAATGTGGCTGCGGCCTAGGCGCGGGGGGGGGGCGTGCACCAGGGGGCCCAACAATAATTATTCTTTAGAATTAATAATGTTCAATCATTTAAGACTGGGGACACTCCGTTCTCACCAGTGCCAGGGTTTTCATAGGAGGCGGGCAATACCCCCACTTTGTGGGGGGGCCGGTTCAAGCTCTACCAAATTTCCAAACGACTCTTCGCCACCACCCACACCCAGCTTCCCGCCCTATGACGTTCGGACACTTCACTTCGTGGCATGCGGACGACCGTGGCTACTATTCAGGGCCCCGCGGCCGACGACGACGGCGTGCGCGCGCGAAGAAAAAACGAATGTGTCCAATATGGTATTATTTGACAGGGATGATGGCCCTGGCATGCGCGCAACCGTTGTTGCAGAAGTTCGAAGCACGTGAAAAAGTTGCTCGCAAGAGCCCGTTTGACAGAAATGTTGAAAAAATATTGGGTTTCCTCAGAAATCCGCAAGAGCGCGCAAGATGAATTTTTGAAACTTTTTTTTTGAAAAACCATTGGGTTTTTCATGTTTTTATGTTAAAATCGCTACGAAAACTAAGGTTTTGGAAGGATTTCATCTTGCGCGCGCGAGTGTGCACTTCGTGTCATTTTTTGCAAAGGATTCTTGAAGTTTGGTTATGTTAGAACAAGACATGTCATTTTATAGTGTTTTTTGACAGGGAAAGCGGGCGTCAACAAAACAACCGGATCTGGATGACATCGTTTTACCTGAGACTTCCTCACGAAAATTATGAAAATGTGGCTGCGGCCTAGGCGCGGGGGGGGGGGCGTGCACCAGGGGGCCCAACAATAATTATTCTTTAGAATTAATAATGTTCAACAACAACAGCAACAACAACACTTGTACCTGCTCGCGTGCCACTCAACAAGCATATCCGAAACACTCGATATCCGCCCTCTTCGTCTTCGATCGTACCCCCATTACGGGCATATCTCCCTGACCTGCAACGTGTATTTCGTGAAGCCCCTAAGGCAGGGGAAAAGAGGACGGGTGGAAGAAAGGGACATGGGGCAGGCGGGTTGCTGAAGCGTGCGGCCTGCATGAATCGGAAGGAAATCTCGGGCGACAGCGCGATTCCCAAGTAAGGCGCGGGAAAGGTCACAACGAGAGCGTGATCCCTGAGTGTCGAGGGCGCGGCGTCTGAATAAATTGAGGGGAAGTCCCACGTGATGGCGCGATTCCTGCATAACTTGTGAGGAGGTCCAGCGCGAGAGCGCGATTTTGGAATAACGTGTGAGGAAATATCAGGCGGCAGCCTTTGTTGTTGTACATCGGGGGCCGGGGCCCAGTTTTATGACACCCAGCTTCCACTTGTAAAAAAACAAGGTGCGAGCTGCGAGGCCCAGGAGAAGCACTTTGATTCGAACAATGCGATGGTTACCCGAGGGTGGATCAAATAAGATGCCAACAGCAACAGCAACACACACACACAACAAGAATAAGCCCAACAACAACAACAACAGCAACAACAGCAACAACAACAAAAACAACAAAAAACACAATCAGTTCAAGACGGTTTTCTCTTACATGCTCGCGGGCCACTCAACACGTATATCTCCAAACCCTCGATGCCCGCCCTCTTCGTATT